GTTTTTCTCTAGTGCAACTTGTTAATTATTATTATTTTAATTTTTTAATTTTTTTAATTTTATTGCATTGTCCCAATTTGTAGCAGGCTGATCCAAGAGCAAAAGAGCAGACAAAACACCCTCCAGAATTTTCCCTAGGGTTTTGTTTTTAAAAAAAAATAAAGTTCTGAATATTTCTACCAAATTGATTTTCATGCTTCCATGAAAATCCAAATGAATGATTTCCAAATGAAACTCTTGGAAAGATCATGGAGTGAGTATTCTGGTTAATAAGTAACATGGATGTTAATTGGGGGGGAGGCTGGGTTTGTATGTGTATATGTATGCTTGAACATGGAACATTAGAGCACGAAACCCTTTCTGAAGCAGGATTAAGAAAAGCATATCTCAGTGTGTGTGAGTGTGTGATGTGCGCATGTTTGCACGCCTTCAACCCACACCCAAATGCCTATGTTTTATAGGCATGCCTATCTGGGAGATGTAGTGAGAGTTTAATGTTTTATATCATTGTGAGGGAGGGGTATTTCTATAAATGCCATGTTATATCTTTCTCCTCCCCCCCCCTCATTTCTTTTCTGTGCGTGTCCCTCTGTAGGCTAAGCTGTTCCGTCTGTATACACAGGAGGTGTTGGAACTGGGTCACAATGTTTCCTTTCTTCTCCTGCTCCCTGCCTCAGACGACGTCTGCACTGCCCCAGGACAGAACAACCCTTACACCCTGCACACAGGATTCCTTAACCTCCCTCTTCAGATGTTTGAACTCGGTATACTACCTTGCTTCTCCTAGAAATATTAACCCACTTGCCTTACAATAAAATCACAAGGTTGTATCTGTTTCCCCCATCCTGTCTCTGCCTCCCCCTCCGCAGCTGAGAGTCAATAAATCATACGATTTCTTGGCAACATCACTTTTTCTCTCTGACTCCAGATAAGTGAGAGACAGAGAGAGAGAGAGAAACAGAGAGAGAGACCCGCTAACTGGGTTACGAGGGCTAGTCATCATTCCTGGCCTGAAGAAGCCGGCCAGATACCACGCAACACAAAACCCTTGAGTGTAACAAAGCATGCAGAATCAGGTCATTCTGAGATGGGTTAATCAGCAAAGCAAATTGGGGTCGGTCTGGCTTAGCGGGGATTGTGATGTCCTTCATAATTGCCGCTATTTGCCTACTCTGAATAGTTGGAGCTGAGACAAATACATCCATTATGTATGCATTGGTCATTTTATATAGGAGAGAAAGCATTTCTGTGACAAATGTTGCTAATTAGGAGTCATTCTGGAGGAGAGCAGTGGTTTGTTGTTGTTGTTTTGGTCTTTTTTTGGAGTAAGTCCATTTCATTTGTTTGGAAGAATAGCTGCCCTGATTACCAGGACTGGGGATCAACGGTGGAAAGGGGGTGCTTCCTCCATGTCTAGATTCCCAGATACAACCAGAAAAGATAAGAAGCTGAACTAAATGGACTTTGATTCCATCAGGTCAGGGACACATTTGTAATTTTGAGAGCATCTGATTAGCACACTCACAAAGTGATTTTCTTATTCACAATCTGCTGGCAAGAGCACAGTGGTTAGAATGCAGTATTGCAGGCAGACTTTGCCGACTGCCAAGAGTTCGATCCTCACCGGCTCAAGGTTGACTCAGCCTTCCAACCTTCCAAGGTTGATAAAATGTGGATACCCAGATTGTTGAGGGAAATACGGTGACTCTGTAAACCCCTTAGAGAGGGCTGTAAAGCACTGTAAAGCAGTATATAAATCTAAGTGCGACTACTATTCCATGTACACATGGCCAGCTACAAAACACTCATTAACCAAAAGGCAAACTAGCCCTAGGGATTGTCAACACTATGGTGTTAGATGTCCCTACATTGTATTGCAGTATTCTTTTTCATTCTTAAATTAAATGATGTTTTGGCAAAGGCTTGGAGTTTGGTAGACTGCCAAGAAATAGCCCTGTTGCTTACGGCTCCATGCTGCCCATTCCCATAATAAAATATTACTAGTAGGATTCAAAGCAAATGTGTCCCATCTGCTAATCTCCAGATGCTTTGGGATTTCAATCAGGGGTGGTATACACTTATCTTCCCTACGGT